CCTGGCGCCGGCCAATCCCTTCGCTCCCGCCGCGGGCTGCCGGGCCTATGGGCGGGGCCGGGGCGGGTTTTGAATAGAGCGCTGTGGTCTCCACTCCTCCTTCCTCCTCCCCTTCCTGCCTCCTGTCTCCTTTTTCCTGTTTCCGCTTCCTTCGCTTACTCCTCCCTTCTCTCCTTCGTCCTGCTTGCGTTGCAGCCCCGTTGTGTTTTTTGTTTGTATGTGCAGTTTGCTGTTTTTCCCAACCCTCCTGCGTTGGGTACTCGTTTTGAATAGAGCACTGCGGTCTCCACCTTCCTTCCTTTACAGACTAATAATCACTATTCAAGCTTACAGCTAATATATTGCTTCACCTTATACCGCACATATTCGCCTACGCCTAGATAGCTTGAGGAGACGTCTACTCTATTACGACTCATCCTCTCTTGCTTCCCTTCTCCCCTCTCTTCGCTCCTCCCTCTTCTCTCCTTGCCTTTTAGCGTCATCCCTTTGGGCTGCATCTGTGAATTGTCGCACGTACTTTCGAGGCTGCTGTGGTTCCATCGGAGTGGAAGGCCCACCCGCGATTCATTATACCCTCGCCATCCCTGGGGGTCTGCGATCTGCGAAACTGTGTCACGTTCGGGGCTGCTGGTGGGTCAGCGGAGTTGAGGCAACACGCAGATTCAGATTAGACCCTCGCCATCCTTGGGGGCTGCGATCTGCGAAAAACTGTCGTCACTTTTCGAGGGCTGCTGGTGGGTCCAGCGAAGTGAGGCACCACGCAGATTCAGATTAGACCTCGACTTTCGAGGGCTGCTGGTGGGTCCAGCGGAGTGAGGCACCACGCAGATTCACATTAGACCTCGCCATCCCTGGGGGTTTGCGATCTGCGAAACTGTCGTCACTTTCGAGGGCTGCTGGTGGGTCCAGCGGAGTGAGGCACCACGCAGATTCAGATTAGACCTCGCCGCCCCTGGGGGGCTGCGATCTGCGAAACGATCGCCACTTTCGAGGCCTGCTGGGGGGCCCAGCGGAGTGAGGCACCACGCAGATTCAGATTAGACCTCGCCATCCCTGGGGGGCTGCGATCTGCGACACTGACGCCACATTCGAGGGCTGCTGGTGGGTCCAGCGGAGTGAGGCACCACGCAGATTGAGATTAGACCTCGCCATCCTTGGGGGGCTGCGATCTGCGAAACTGTCACCACTTTCGAGGGCTGAGGGTGGGTCCAGCGGAGTGATGCACCACGCAGATTCAGATTAGACCTCGCCATCCCTGGGGGGCTGCGATCTGCGACACTGACGCCACATTCGAGGGCTGCTGGTTGCGAAACTGTCGCCACATTCGAGGGCTGCTGATGGGTCCAGCGGGGCGGGGCACCACGCAGATTCAGATTAGACCTCGCCATCCCTGGGGGGCTGCGATCTGTGAAACTGTCGCCACTTTCGAAGGCTGCGTGGGGGGCCCAGCGGAGTGACGCCCTTCGGGGATACAGATTGGACCTCGCCATCCCTGGGGGGCTGCGACCTGTGAAACTGTCGCCACTTTCGAAGGCTGCTTGGGGGGCCAGCGGAGTGACGTCCTACGGGGACTCAGATTAAACGTCGCCAGCGCTGGGGGGCTACGATCTGTGAAACTGTCGCCACTTTCGAGGGCTGCTGTGGGGCCCACGAAACTGTCGCCACTTTCGAGACCTGCTGCGGGGTCCAGCATAGTGACGTCCTACGCGGACGCAGATTGGACCCGTCATTCTACTTCGATTATCCCGCATCTGCGATCGACTGTATGTGCGCGAGGAACTAGACATGGAGTGGTCTGGCACTGACTGGCGTCAAATCGTTGTGTGCCAGTGTCTCCTGGGGTGATGCAGCTCGTCGGCGCTGCGACTCGAGCTGGCGGTCGTCCTTCGGACCCGCAGAAACATCTGCTGAGCTCGATGAGCTAGGGGAACTACAGGAAAGAAGTGCAGGAAACGGAGGCCGGTCATGCACTCGCCGATACCTCGTTGCTCTGTCATCGTCTTTGCTGTTGCATGATCCTTATCTGGCCTGCCGGCGCCGCGGCTCGAGCTGGCGGTCGCCCTTCGGGCCCGCGGGAACATCTTCTGAGACAAGTGACGCCGCCGCCTTACTTGCAGGCAGCGCATTGCATTCGCGGACAGCAGCATGGCAGACCGCAGTGAGATCCTCAGTCGCGTGGTGTTGCCAGGCCTGGTGGAGACGCGCGTGATCGACCTGAAGTCCCAATCGCGCGTGCACTGTACCTGCGTGGCGTTCAGGCACGCGCGTGATGCTGCTCGCTCCGCGTTCAACCAGTACGTCGCCAGTGCAACTTTGGACGATGGACAACCGATTGATGATACGCGACCCCGGCCTTGAGTTTCTTTCCCGCGGGCCGCCCGCAGACCTGGCGGCGCGCCTGCGAGCGTTCAGCTCCCGCGCTGAAATGTGCGGGAAGGAGGCGGAGAAGCTAGCGGGCGAGCTACGCCTCGCTCGTTCCTTGCACGCTAAACGAGTTTTATCATGTGGAACTCTGCGACGACATGGCGCAGGCAGCGCTGCGGGTGTAGCTCGCACTTGAAAAACGCGGCAGTCTTCTGTCTCCTCCCGCCACTTTCATCGTCGTCCTATTTCCCGCCTCACCTTCTCCATGCATGCTGCTGCTTCCGCGATGGCCTTTCGCCCCCCCCCCGCCCTCAATTCCATCCCTCTCCTACCCCTCGTTCCCGTGCCCGTTCTTCTTCGATCCTGGGGCCTCAATCCTCGTTCTTTCGATCGTCGTCCTGTGAATCGCGCAACGCATGCGCATCCCATGTAGCTTGCACAGCAAATCGCCGCGTCTGCACTGTCGTTGTTCCTGCTAATGTTGGCATACTCCTCTTGCCATTTGATGCGCGTGGGTTGGGTGCGTCGCAGGGTAATTACTTTCTACTCCCCATCGAACGAGCCTCCCCCCAAAATGAGCAGCTTCGACGATTTGCATTTCGGGAGTCGCGCGCGGTCTGGACCAGAGCGGTTAGCTTTATCCAAAGGCGCGATGTACGAAGACAGTCGCGCATTTCAGGGCGCGATGCGCGAACTTAGGTGGCCCCATACGATTCATCGAGAAGCGGCGGGAGTTTCAGGCTTCAGCGAGGCCTTGGAGCCCGATGCGGCATCCTGTAAGCGAGGGTGCTGTTTTGACTTCGTCGGCGGCCCTGCTGCCTCCTCCTCCTCCTCCTCCTCCTCCTCCTCCACTTCCTCCTCGTCCTGGTTCTCCTGATTCCATCCGGCCCCCTGCTCCAGCAGCTCCGCCTCGCGCAGGTTCACAAGGACGAGGAGTCGTCGACCGGGGAAACAGGCCGCCCCAGGGGCGGGGAGTGGACGGGCAGGCCAGCGGAAATCTATCCCCAGAGATCCGGGTGGTGCAGTTTTTGACCGGCATTTTCGCCTGGTTTTGGGCCCTGGGACCATCACATCTCGATCTGGTTCGAAAAACGCAGCTGGAAGATAGGGCATTCTGGGGCTCCGGTCGCGATGTTTCATGATGTTTCGTAGTGCTGCCATTTCTTTTCGCGACGCGGGATCTCTGGGTCAGGAGAAGGGGAGGGCAAAGGCAGGACTCCCAGTGTCCAAGGAGCCGTGCTCGTCCGACACCTCAGTGCATCATGTTGCCAATTCTGTTCGCGACGTCGGATCTCAGGGTCAGGAGACGGAGGGGGCAGAGAGGACTTCCAGTGTCCCAGGGGCCGTGCTCGTCTGGCATCTCAGTGCATCACGCGGCCGCCGCCGCCCCGCTGCACCAGCACTCACGGGCCGAAGAAGGGGAGGATGAGAGGCAGGCAGGGAGGGAGGGAAGCGATGGAGGATGGAGGGGGAGGGAGTGCGATGGAGGTGGAGGAGGAGGGGGAGCGGAGGCAGAGGAAGGGGGAGGGGCAGGCAGGGAGGGAGGGGAAGGGAGGGAGGGCGATAGAGCGGGAGGGGGAGGAGGAGGGGGAGGAGGCGCAGCTGGAGGCGTTGCCGCTGGCGGTGGGTAGGCACCGGCCCATTTCCTGCCAAGGTAGGCGGCGGACTTGCGCGCTCGATGGTGTCCGAGAACCACCCTGAGCCGGGACCCCCGCTCCCGGCCTGGTGATCCAAGGGGTCTGGCTGTGGGTGGAGGTGTTCCTGTGGCCCCCCAGGGCCCCCCCCGAAACCACCACCACCCCCAGCGCCAGGACCCCCTGGATCACTACTTCGGGAATGGGGGTCCTGGCTGGCGGTCGGGGTGAGTTGTGCTGTTTTCAGAAAACGAGGGTGGTCAGGGGAGGGAGGTAATTATGGGGGAGGAAAAGTGAAGGAGGAGGGACGGGCGCCAGATTCGGGGCGATGGCTCGGTAGCAGATTGAGGAGGGAAGAGGGCAGCGGAAGAGCAAAAGCAGGATGCGGGAGGACGGTGGACGACCGAAGTGGGGCGGAGTGGGGGGGACAGAGGCAGGATAGAGTAGCGGGGATTGATGCGGGAGGACGCAAGACGGGATGTGGACCAGGAGCGACGAGGACGACGACGACAACGGCCACAAGGAACCACGGCGACGACGAGGTGGAGGAGGAGGAGGAGGAAAAGGAGGAGAAAAAGGAGGAGGATTAGGTGTGTGCTGCGAGAGACGGGGCTGAAGTCGAGCGCTGAGCAATCTGGAAGCAGGGGCTCGCGATCACGCACCATCCCAGCCCCCGCTGGCACAGCTCATGGGCCAGCACCGCAGAATTGGCACACCGCCTTAGTCGCCCGGAGGGAAGCGAGTCCAGAGGGAAACGTCGAACAGCAAACAGCTGCACAAACATAATAAATGTCCTGAGCTCCGCGCGGATATCTTGGGCTGGCGCTGGACCCCCTGGCGCGCTCCGCGCGCCATGGAGGGGGGCCCAGCGCAGATCCAAACAACCCGCGCGGGCCTCCGACGTTTTTGTTGAGCAAGCTGTTTCTTATCCTGAAACGGGTCCTGGAAGCTGCTCCCCGTCTGCGGGCTCCCCGGGCCTTCCGCGGGCCACGGGTCAGGGTGGTCTCGCGGCAGGATGGATTATGAAAGGATGTCGTTGCGTTTTCCAGGACATTACCGAGGAACCTCACATGCTTACAATATGTCTGGCGTGATGATAGCTGAAGTGGGACATGCGAGAATGATGTTGGTGGCCGTTGCCCCGCCGATACCATTGTCTGACGCCTGTCAAGCCTTGGGAGCCTGACACCCCGTGCGAACAAAAACGAGTCAACGCCGAAAGGAAACCGAGTTGTTGGGGCGTCGCACAGGAAACGGTTCACATGCCGCCGCTTCGGCAAGAAGTTCCCGGGGGCAAGCGCTGCTTGCGCGGGCCGCCCAACCAATGCGGCTCGGGGCTCTTCGCACGAGGCGCAGCCTGTCAGCGATAGCGCGTAGTGTCATGGCCTTATCGAAAGCGGGCGTAACGGCTTCTCTGCACCCACGTAGGTTCAGGTCTTCGCTCTGGATTCCCATACTTGCATCAGTGTCCTGCGTGCGCCTGCTGTCCAGGGCTTGGACCAAAACCTTTGGATCAGGGCTCACTGGCCAATTCTGATCAGGTGACGCCGCCCCGCTCTGGTCGAGAAAATGCCACGCGCGCAAAGCTTTTGGGATACCCCGACCCGTACGCACCCCCCACGGTGTCGAGAATATGTTGCGCCTGCTATGCCTGGACGACCAGCGCCGCCGCGATCAGAGACCACCCCCTGCGCACCCCCCGAAGCATCCGGAACGTGCCACGCCTGTTTCGCCCTGGGCGACCGGCGTGCGTAGCGGCCGCGCTGAGAGATTATTATCCTTTGCGCACCCCTTGTTGTGTCGAGAAACTCCCACGCCTGCTATGCCGTCGACGACCGGCGTGCATAGCGGCCGCGCTCAGAGACCACCCGCCGCGCGCCCCCGACAGTGCCCAGAACATGTTTTGCCTGCTATGCCATGGACGATCCGCGCGCGCATGGTGGCCGCGCTCAGAGACCACCCCCTGCGCACCCCCTATGGTGTCCACAAAGTGCCACGCCTGCTATGCCGTGGACGACCGCGGCGCATAGCGGCCGCGCTCAGAAACCAACCCGTGCGCACCCCCTACGGGTTCGAGAATATGCCACGCTTGCTTTGCCCTGGACGACCGGCGTGCGAAGTTGCGGCGATCAGAGACCGACCACCCCACCGCGTACCCCCTCATGGTGTCGAGAGATTTGTCACGCCTGCTATGCCATGGACGACCGGCATGCATAGCGGCCGCGCTCAGAGTCCACCCGCCGCGCGCCCCCGATAGTGTCCAGAACATGTTTCGCTTGCTATGCCACGGGCGAACGGCGCGCATTGCGGCAGACCACCCACCGCGCAACCCCTATGGTGTCCAGCAATTGCCACGCCTGCTATGCCATGGGCGACCAGCGCGCATGGCGGCATCGCTCAGAGACCACCCCCTGCGCACCCCCTTTGGTGTCCAGGAAGTGCAACGCCTGCTACTCCCTGGACGACAGGCGTGCGTAGCGGCCGCGGTCAGAGAACACCCACCACGTACCCGTCCATGGTATCGAGAATCTGCCACGCTTGCTATGCCCTGGACGACCTGCGTGCATAGCGGCCGCGCTCAGAGACCACCCCCTGCGCACCCCCGATGGTGTCCAGAAAGTGCCACGCCTGCTATGCCCTGGATGACCAGCGTGCTTAGTGGCCGCGCTCGGAAACCATCCCTTACGCCCCCCATATGGTGTCCAGAAAGTGCAACGCCTGTTATGCCCTGGACGATCCGCGCGCGTAGCGGCCGCGCTCAGAGACCCCCCCCTGCCCCCCCCCCCCCCCCTTATGGTGTCGCGAAAATGCCACGCCTGCTACGCCGCTATGCCATGGACGCTTGGCGTGCATATCGGCCGCGCTCAGAGCCCACCCCCTGCGCACCGCATTTATGGTGTCGAGAATATGCCACGCGTGCTATTTCATGGTCGACCAGCGTGCCGCGCGCGCTCAGGGACCACCCCTTGCGCATCCCTTACGGGTTCGAGAAAGTGCCACTCCTGCTTTGCCCTGGACGACCAGCGCGCATAAGTCACACAAAAAACCACCCCTCATGGTGTCGAGAATACGCCACGCTTGCTTTGCCCTGGACGACCGGCGTGCATAGCGGCCGCGCTCAGAGACCACCCCTTGCGCACGCACGCCCTATGGTGTCGAGGATATGCCACATTTGCTATGCCCTGGACGACCAGCGCGCTTGGCGGCTGCTCTCAAAGACCCTCCCTTGCGCACATCATCTATGGTGTCGAGAAGATGCCACACCTGCTATGCCGTGGACGACCAGCGCGCCTGGCGGTCGCGCTCAGAGACCACCCATTGCGCACCCCGTGTGGTTTCGAGAATATGCCACACTTGCTATGCTCTGGACGACCGCGGCGCATAGCGGCCTCGCTCCGAGACTACCCCGTGCGCACCTCCTATAGTGTCGAGAATATGCCGACGAGCTGCATCTGCTTCTCATGCGTGTGCGCGGCTGGTGCGTGCGTGCACGTGTGCGCATGCCTTGTGTGCGTGTCTAATGCGCGCATGAACGGGGAGGAGCGGAGGAACAGACTCGCAGAGAACGATTCGAAACGAGAAGCTGCTCCCAGGGCCACCCATCCAGCGGCCGCCGGATGGGTATCCTGCTGCGCCGGTTGAATACCTCTACCCAGCAGCCGCCAGATGGGTATCCCGCCGTGGTGGCTGGGCACGTCTAGCCATGCAGCAGCCACCGGGTGGGTATCCCGCCGTGCCGGCTCGGTACCCCTATCCATCCAGCGCCGGACGGGTATGCCGCCGTGCCGGCTGGGTACCCCTATTCGTGCAGCGTTGGATGGGTATCCCGCCAGATGAGTATCTCCGTGCCCACCCCCCCTTGCCTTCATGCTGCGGCCGGATGGGTATCCCGCCGTGCCGGCTGGGTACATCCAGCGCCGGATGGGTATCCTGTTGCGCTGGTTGGGTACCCTTACCCATCCAGCGGCCGCTGGATGGGTATCCCGCCGTGCCGGCTTGGTAGTCCTGCCCGTGCAGCGCCAGATGGGTTTCCCGCCAGATGGGTATCTCAGTGCCCCCCCCCATGCTGCTGCCGCCGTGCTGGCTGGGTACCCCTGCCCATCCAGCAGCCGCTGGATGTGTATCTCGCCGTGACAGCTGGGTACCCCTGTAACGGGCGCCGGATGGGTATCCCGCCGTGACGGCTGGGTACCCTACCCATCCAGCGCCGGGTGGGTATCCCGCCGGATGGGTATCTCAGTGCCCATCCCCATCTTCATGCAGCGGCCGGATGGGTATGCCGCCGTGCCGGTTGGGTACCCCTACCCATCCAGCGGCCAGCGGATGGGTACCTCGCCGTGCCATTTGGGACCCCTACCCATCCAGCGGCCGCCGGACGGGTATCGCGCCATGCCGGTTGGGTACCCCTACCTATCCAGCGCTTGATGGGTATCCTGCCAGGGGGTTATCTCAGTCAGTGCCCCTCCCCCCCTTCATGCTACGGCGGGATGGGTATCCCGCCGTGCTGGCTGGGTACCCCTACCCATCCAGCGGCCGCCAGATGGGCCCGATGGGTGTCGCGCCGTGCCGGTTGGGTACCAGCGCCGGGTGGATATTCCGACAGATGGGTATCTCAGTGCCATGGGTATCCTGGCAGATGGGTATCTCACTGCCCCCCCTTCCCCTCCATGCTACGGCCAGATGGGTGTCCCGCCGTGCCAGCTGGGTACGCCTACCCATCCAGCGCTGGATGGGTATCCTGCTGCGTTGGCTGGGTATACCCCATCCAGCGGCCGCCAGATGGGTATCCCGCCGTGCTGGCTGGGAACCCTTGCCAATCCAGCGTCGGACGGGTGTCCCGCTGGATGGGTATCTCAGTGCCGCCGCGTGGGTGTGCCGCCGTGCGGGCTGGGTTAGGGGGCCACATGCGAACCCTACCCCTGCCCCCCACGATTTCTGAGGGGGAGGGTGGGGTTCACTTCGCCCTCACAAATCGTGGGGGGTAGGGGTAGGGTTCGCATGTGGCCCCCTATGGGTAGGGTACCCCCCATCCTGCGGCCTTTGGATGGGTATCCCGCCGTGCCAGCTGGGTATCCCTACCCCTCCAGCGGCCTCCGGATGGGTATCGCGCCGTGGCGGCTGGGTACCCCTACCCATCCAGCGCCGGATGGCCGGGTGTCCTGCCGGATGGGTATCTCATTGTCCCTCCCCGTCATGCTGCGGCCGGATGGATATCCCACCGTGCCAGTTGGGTACCCTCACCCATCCAGTGCCGGATGAGTATCCCGCCGTGCTGGCTGGGTACCCCTACCCCCAGCCATTGCCCTTGCCTCCTCGTGCCTCCTCTCCTCCCTCCCTCCCTCCTTCTCTCCCTCCCTCTCTCCCTCTCTCCCTCCCTCCTCTCCCTCCCTCCCTCCCTCCTCTCCTCCCTCCTCCCTCCCTCACTCCCTCTCTCCCTCTCTCCTCCTCTCCTCCCTCCTTCCCTCTATCCCTCCTCTCCTCCCTCCCTCCCTCCCTCCTCCAGGCTCGTTTTTTCACTCCGCGGCCCCAGAGGTCGCGATCGTTCCCCTGGCGGTAGTCTTGCGCCCCAGGTCCGTTTGTGATCGCCCCGGGGCCCGAAAACGGCGCCCGAGGGCCGAAATCGTTATCGTCGTCGCGTGGGGCGCCGCAGGCTTCGCGCGCGCGCGTTTGCCGCCCGAGGGCCTCCTCCCCCTCCTCATAGGGACCCCATACAGGCGTCCCCTAAATCCCACGGCGAGGACCCTCCTCCTCCTCCTCCTCCTCCTCCTCCTCCTCCTCGTTCTCCTCCTCGTTCTCCTCCTCGTTCTCCTCCTCGTTCTCCTCCTCCTCCTCCTCCTCCTCCTCCTCCTCCCCCTCCTCCTCCTCCTCCTCCTCCTCCTCCCCCTCCTCCTCCTCCTCCTCTCCTCCTCCTCCTCCTCCTCCTCCTCCTCCTCCTCCTCCTCTCCTCTCCTCCTCCCTCTCCTCCTCCTCCCTCTCCTCCTCCTCCCGCCCCCCCCCCGGCTGGGGCAGGCCTGGGCACTTCGAGGCACGCGGCCGAGCGGCCGCCGCAGGCCCCACGCGCGCGGCGCCGCCGCCGCCGCCTCGCGGGTGGTCGGCACCGTCGGCGTCGGCGTCGCCAGCGCTGTCGTCAGCAGCGCCGTCGTTCGAAGAAGAACAAAAAACACATAAACATAAATTTTCGACGCTCCGCGCGGACTTCTTGGATCTGAGCTGGGGCCCCCTGGCGGCGCCTCCAGCGCCTCCCCTGGCGCGCTCCGCGCGCCAGGGAGTGCGGTCCAGCGCGAATCCAAGAAATCCGCGCGGAGCGCCGAAAGTTTATGTTTATGTCTGGTTTTTCTTCTTCTAGTCGTTGCCGTTGCCGCCTGTCAGTATCTCAGGAGGGGAAAACACACAGACACATTTAATCGTCGACTCCCAGGACAAACATGGGAAGATATGGGAAGTGGAGGGGAGACGAACACCCAGAAAGTATAGGAAAATATTGGAGAGAGCGTGATCCACCGCCGCTTTACTGTGGAAAATTGCCAACCTTTTCCTCCGGAACCCGGGGGTCGCCCCCCCCCCCCCCTCCGAAAAATCCCCCCCCCCCCCCCTGCTGGAACCCCTCCCCCCCCCCCCCCCCCCCCTCCCCCGGCAAAACCCCCCCTCCCCTAACCCCTCCCCCCCCCCCCCCCCCCCCCTCCCGCTCGAAGCCGGGGGGTCACTACCGTTCGAACCCCTCCCCCCCCCCCCCCCCCCTCCGGATCCGGAAAACCGGGGGGGTCACTACTACCGGTTCGAACCCCCCCCCCCCCCCCCCCCCTACTCACCGCCAGCAAACGACTCCCGGTCCCCACCACCGTCCGCATCACATCCCCCACTGGTGTTCCCAGCACCACTGTCCTCACCACCGCTGTCCCCACTGGTTCCACCACCGCCCCTACTGTCCCCACCAGTGGCCCCACCACTGTCGCACTGTCCCCGCTGTCCCCAGAACTGTTCCCACCACGGTTCCACCACTCTCCCCACTGTCTCCACGGCCCCAACCACTGCCCGACTATCCCCACTGTCCCCACTGTCCCACTGACTCCTCCGCTGTCCCACTGAGCTGTCCCACTGTTCCCACCACTGTCCCCACTGTCCCCACCACTGTCCCCACTGTACCTCCGTCCCATTGTCCCACCGCCGTCCTCGCCACCGCCTTCACCACTGTCCCCACCACCATTGTACCCTCCACTGTCCCACTGTTTCCACCTCATTCCCATTGTCCCCACACCACTGTCCCCACCACCACCGTCACCACCACTGTCCACTGTCCCCCCCTGTTCCCACCATTGTCCCCACCACTGTCCCCACCACTACCGTCCCCACCACTGTCCCACTGTCCCACTGTCCCCACCACTGTCCCGCTATCCCCTCACCACTGTCCCCACCAACACCGTCCCCACCACTGTCCGCACCCCCACTCGGTTTTCGAGGGGGGGGGGGGTTCGAACCGGTAGTGACCCCCCCCGGTTTTCGAGGGGGGGGGAAGGGGTTCGAACCGGTAGTGACCCCCCCCCCTTTTCATGATGAGCTGGGGGGGGGGGGGGGGAGGGGTTCGAACCGGTAGTGACCCCCCCGGTTTTCCGGAGGGGGGGGGGAGGGGTTCGAACCGGTAGTGACCCCCCCCGGTTTTCCGCCAGCAGCGGTAGAACACGCTCTTTCAAATATTGGGAATCCTGTTATTTGTGTCTATTTATTTGTGTGTCCCTGGGCCCCTTTCAGTATCGTTTCACCGATCCCTATCCCCATCTCGATCCACACCTCGAGCCCCACCGTTTCATCACCTCAGTTGGGGATATGCCCCTCGAAACCCGAAGAGAGCAGCCAACATCCCCATCCAGAGGGGTAAATCGGCCAGTGGGGCCCATCCCACGCTGGTGGGGATGGGGATCCTTTAAACGATGCTCAGCCTGTGCTCATGCCGTTGCCTTGGCATCGCTCGGACGTGTGCAGTGCTCCTCGGCGAGGACCATCGAGAAGTTTCCTGAATCCTCTTGCGAAAAATCAAACGCGCGAAACCAGAAAATACAGCGGGAATGGACGTCTGAGCGATGGCAATGCCGTCGTCGCCGTTTCCGTCGCCGTCGTCGTCGTCGTCGCCGTCGCCGTCGTCGTCAGCGTCGGTACTTTTTGTTCGGTCTCGACCCTGAGGCATCGGACGTTCGAGGTGTTCGAGGTTGTCGGGCGTTTTCGTCGGTGCTCGGTCGATTTCCAGCCTCGGGGTGCCTTCAGTCTAGGCCTCCTACATAGATGGGGTCGGAGTGGATGGGGTCGAAGGATCGCACCGCATCCCCGATGCATCGGCGATGCGGCTCGATGCGGAGCCCGAAATCTTCCGCGCCAGTGTCGGCGATGCACCGCCAAAATCGCCGATGCATCGTCGATGCATCGGCGATGCATTGGCGATGCGACACGATCCTTCGACCCCATCTACTCGGACCTCATTTAGGAGGCCTCTATTCAGGGAGTTTCGGAAGTTTTCGGGAATTTCGGAAGTTTTCGGGAGGTTTCGGGAGGGTTGGGAGTTTTCGGCAGTTTCCGTTGGTTCCCGTGGGTTTTCTCGGGGACGCTTCTGCGAGGGCGTTCGTCCCGAACGGTCGCCATAGAGCAGCGATGTGGCCCAACAGCTAAGTATCCGACGATTTGCTTCGGTATCGTTTAACCGATCCCCATCCTCCCCTTCGAGACCCCCACCAAATTACCCCCCCGTTGGGAATACACCCCTCGAAATCCGCAGGGAACGACATATATCCCCATCCAGGAGGGCAACTCGGCCAGTGGGGCCCAGGCCACGCCGCTGGGGATGGGGATCGGTTAAACGATACTCATTGCTCCCGTGCTATTACTTAGACGGCTTCGAGAGAACACTCCTCATCCTCACCTCCTCTTCCTCTTACTTACTCATACTCGCACTTACTCAGACACACTCGTTACTCAGGTTCACTCATACTCAGAATCACTCACACTCAGAATCGCTCATCGCTCACAATCAGGCTCGCTCACACTCATACTCGCTCCTACTCAGACTCACTTACACTCAGACTCTCTTGCACTCAAACTCACTCATACTCAGACTAACTCACACTCATACTCCTCTCATATTCAGACTCAGACTAACTCAGAATCAGATTCACGCATCTAATTTTAGGATATCTAGCGCTAAGCGCTGGTTTCAGCACTCCCAAGGGGGAGCGCCAGGGGGTGTATCACGGGCCTGTTCGCGCCCAGACTGTGGAGATTTCACAGGCGGTTTGCATGTTTGCGTGCTCAATATCTGTTACTTTCGGAGCAGTTTGTGAGGATGTCTCGGGCGAGACGCTGGTTTCAGCACCCCCAAGTGGGGTTGCCAGGGGGCTTCTCACGGTCCCAGTCGCGCCCATACTGTGGGGATGTCTCAGGCGGTTTTCCCGTTTGCGTGCTCAACATCCTCTGCTTTCGGAGCAGCTTGTGAGTTTGTGAGCATGCTTCAGACGAGGCGCTGGCTTTGCTTTTTCAGACAGCGTCGACTCTTCTTCCCTCCACTTCCCCAACCTGCCTCCTTCTCCTTCTCCTCACACTCACACTCACACTCACTCATCTCGCCCAGACTCACTCATACTCGGACTCACTCATACTCAGACTCACTTACACTCAGCCTCACTAAACTCACTCTTCATCGCGTAGACTCAAGCACATCCTTCCCTCAATCAGGCTCACTCATACTCAGAATCTCTCACGCAGACAGACTGTAAGGATGTGTCGATGGAGGCGCTTGTTCCAGCATTCCAAGGGGGAGCCGCCAGGGGGTGTTGCGCGGGCCCGTCCGCGCCCAGATTGTGGGGATGTTCAGGCGGTTTGCTTGTTCCGTTTCTCACTATCCTTTGTTGTCAGATCACTTTGGGAGGACGTCTCAGGCGAGGCGCCTGTTTTGGCACCAAGGGGGTGCCGCCAGGGGCCCGTTCGCGCCCAAATGGTTGGGATGCCTCAGGCGGTTTGCCTGTTCCGGCCCCCCAGGCTTGTCTTTGGACGTGTGGTACCTGGAAGCCTCCGGACCTCACTCACTCACCTCCCCCCTGTCCTCCCCGCTCAGACGCATTCACAGTCAGACTCGCTCATCAGCGCCTCTTCCTCACGCAGACTCGCTCATCACACTCAGACTCAACCATGCTCAGATTCACTCACACCCGGGCCTAATGGTTAGACCCACTAACATTCAGACTCGCTCATACAAGGCTCACTCACACTCAGACTAACTCACCCTCGGACGTCCTCGCACTCAGATTCTTCTCCCACCCCAAGACTCACTTATGCTCAAACTCACTCGTACTCAGACTCACTCAGACTCAGACTCATACTCATGATACTCAGACTCACACTCAGACTCATACTCATCATACTCATGCTCAGACTCACTCACACTCAGACTTGCTCACACTCAGACTCACTCACACTCAGACGCACCTACCCTCAGATTCACTTGTAGTCAGGCTGACTCCTGCTCAGGCACACTTAGATTCGGACTCATACTCAGCGGCTCATTATCATACCCATTTAAGACTAAAGCCCACCCATACTCAGACTCTCCTTCATTCAGACTCACTTGTACTAAGGCTGACGCAAACTCAGGCCCACTCGGACTCAGACTTTCTCATACATAGACTCGCTCACACTCGCACTCAAACTCACACGGGTTCGCTCACACTCACTCACACTCAGATCATTCACGCTCAGATTCCCTCAGTCTTCTCTCTTTTGGTGGTCCAATGCTCTCTCGTTCATCCACTTGTGTTTCGCTCATCTCTCCTGAAAGATGGAGGAGGAGGAGGAGGAGAAGGAGGAGGACGTCACTGAAGGCGTCGCTGTCGCCGCCGTCGTTGTCGCGCCCGTCGCCACGTTGACTCGCTCTCACACCCAGATGCTGGCAGACAGAGTTCCTCAGCGAGACGTGACAGGAGTATGAGCTGCACATGTTGGGACCTCCGCCTCGAGTAACTTTCGATCAGGGCCTTTTTCTTTGATCTCGGCCCTCGGTGGCCGTTCTCGGGCCACGGGGCCGTCAACAGCGAAGCAAGGGAGAAGCAATTCGCCTGGGGGGGGTCGGACCTTCTGGGGGCCGCGGCTCGAGAGACAAAGAAAAGGCAACGGCGGATGTCTGGGCCCTCCTTCCGCTCCCGCTCCTCCTCCTCGCTCCTTCTCTTCCGCGCGTGCCGGCACGCACGTCACAATGTATCAAGCTGGTCCAGTGTACGGTTGGCGTCGCCCAACCGCCGCCGCCGTCGTCGACGTCGTCGCCGCCGCCGTCGTCGTCGCTGTCGCCGTCGCCGTGTTCGTCGTCGTCGTCGTCGTCGTCGCCAGCGCCGTCGTCACCAGCGCCGTCGTCGCTACTGCCGTCGTCGCCGTCGTTGCCGTTGCCGCCGTCGTTGCTGTTGCCGCCGTCGCCGTCGTTGTTGCCGTCGTCGCCGTCGTCGTCGTCGTCGCCATCGCCTCCCTTTCGCCGTCCTCGCTGCAGCCACCGCCGCCGCTCGGCGCTGTGGGCGCGGAGAGGCCGTCGCCGCCGCGGAGAACCTGCCCAACGGCACGGCGTGAGCGGGAGGGTCATGGGCGGCGGGGCGGTGTGCCGGCGGCGCTGGCGTCGCACCGTGTCGCTTGGTGCCTGGGCCGCCGTGGAGAAAGGTGCCCCGAGGGAAGCTCTTGGCGGTGCTCAAGGTGCCGGGGAAATGGCAGAAGAAAGAATCAGCACAAACATACTCTTTGGGAGCTTCGCGCGGACCTCCGAAAGCTTGTTATGTTCATATTGGTTTTCCTTCTTCTAGACAAGGTGCCGAATACCGCTGCTCGTCCTGCAGAGCCCTCGTCGCCACGGCTGGACTCTCCTACAGATTCTGGTCAGAAAGTACCCAGGGAGGAGTCCAGGGATCAGTGGTATAGCTCGTAGAGCTCTTCGGCATCGATGAGCTAGAGGAATTCCGGCGCGGGGTGGAGATAGTTGGCCGACCCAGCCCGGGCGGACAACATGACGACCTGGGGGTGGTTGGGCGAACATAGTGAGAGATTTGACCATTCGTTTCGAGAACCAGTATTTTCCCCACCTGTAGTAGGTGATGCCGCGTCTGCGTGTGAAATTCTCAGGTCCGTAGCTGCAGTATTACTATCAAAACACTTGGGGGAACCGACTTCGGATTAAAACCGAGAAACATGTATTTTCGAGTTTTTAAGCTGATGCTGAAGAAAGTTTTCTCCTTGTGTTCCGTGCAGCACCACGCGTGCAAAGAGCTCTACGAGGGTCCCGGCGGTAACCTAACCTGGTTGACGGCTTACCGCCGGCTCACAGTTGGTATCTTATTGCTCCCCCGCTGGGGGGTGCCAGGGGAGTCTGCCTCGAGGAATGGGTTCCCTTCCAGTGAGCGGCTTGAGTGAGGAACATATACTTTTCAAACGGGGCTCGGTCGTTCCTTAGGTTTGCATGCGTTCCGTTACCTTTTTGGGAGCGAGCCCCCTTGGTTTTCCTCAGATTTTGGACGCGCGGGTTCGTTTTGTCGATGAGGGCGGCTGGCCTAAAGAACGGGGCTCCAAGAGGGGCTCGGTTCCTTGCGCTTGCTCGACGTAGTGCGACGACGGTCGCGCATAAGCCTGGCGCTTCTCTCGAGCCCTCCCGTTTTTTGAGGGACGCGCGTTGGAGCTTTCGATTTCATCCGCGTGCCAAGGTAGGGGCATTAAGGTCCAGTTCCTCGCTGGAGCACCTCCCGTTCCTTAAGCCGCTCGGTTCGGGGCTCACGGGCTCGACATAATCCAACGGTGGTCACGTGAAGGTCCAGCTCATCTCTCGGGGTCGTTCCTTGCCGGGCGCGCGTTGGAGCTTACCCTGTATGACCTCATGTGGGCGCCCAGAATACGAGTGAAACAGGAGGTTTTGCTCACACGGTTTTCGGGGTGACACGTGTCACCCTCGTATTGTTTCAGATTGTTTGGCCCCATGTTAGCGTCCAGAATACGAGTGAAACAATCGATATGTTTCACACGGCTTTCGGGGTGACACGTGTCGCCCGTGTGTTGTTTCACACTGTTTGGCCCCATGTTGGCGTCCAGAAAACGAGTGACACAATTGTTTTATCTCAATGTTTTCGGGGTGACACGCGTCACCCGTGTGTTCTTTCATATTGCCTGGCCCAATGTTGGTGACCAGACTACGCGTGAAATGGATGTTTTGTTCTCAGGGTTTTCGGGGTGACGCGTGCAACCCGTGTGTTGTTTCAGACTGTATGGCCCCATGTTGGCGTCAATCTTCCAGGTGAAACAATTGTTTTTTCTCAGACGGATTTCGGGGTGACACGTGTGACTAGCCTGTTATGGCCGAGTGTCTGCATCCAGCGTGCGAGTGACAGAATTGTTTTTTCTCAAACCGTCTTCGGTGTGACGCGCGTCACCCGCGTGTTGTTTCACACTGTGTGGCCCCTTGTTGGCGTCCAGAATGCGAGTGAAACGATGTTTTTTTCTCACACGGATTTCGGGGTGACGCGTGCCACTCGTATGTTGTTTCACATTGTGTGGCCCCATGTTGGCGTCCAGATTACGAGTGAAACTGTTGTGTTTTCCGAATTGTTTTTTCCTGGGCGACACGTTTCACCCGTGTCCTGTTCACCCGTGTCCTGTTTCTAACACGGTTTTCGGGTGACACGTGTCACCCGCGTGTTGTTTCACACTTTTTGGCCCCATGTTGGCGTCCAGAACACGAGTGAAATGAATATGGTTTTTCTCACACGGCTTTCGGGGTGGTACGTGTCACCCGCGCGTTGTTTCACACTGTCCGGCTCCATGTTGGCGATCAGAACACAAGTGAAACAACGTAGTTTTTCTCCTACGGGTGGCACGTGTCTCCCGTGAGTTGTTTCGCATTGTATGGCCCCATGTTGGCGTCAAGAATACGAGTGAAACGGTTGTGTTTTTCTCACGGTTTTCGGGGTGACGCATGTCACCCGTGCGTTGTTCCACGCTGTCGGGCCCCATGTTGGCGTCCAGAATGCGAGTGGAACACATGTTTTTTCTCACACGGTTTTCGGGGTGGCACGTGTCACCCGCGTGTTGTTTCACAATGTAAGGCCCCATGTTGGCGTCCAGAATACGAATAAAACAAATGCTTGTTCACGCGGTTTTCGGGGTGGCACGTGTCACCCGCGTTTTGTTTCACACTGTCCAGCCCCATGTTGGCGATCAGAACACAAGTGAAACAACGTTTTTTCCAACGGTTTTAGAGGTGACACGTGTCTTCCGTGTGTTGCTTCGCATTGTATGGTCCCATCTTGGCGTCAGAAATACGAAAGGAACAAGTATGTTTTGTTTCTCGTGGTCTTTGGGGTGACACGTGTAACGCGCGTGTTGTTTCACATTGTATGGCCCCATGTTGCCGCCCAGAATACGAATGAAACAATGGGTGATTCCCACACGGTTTTCAGGGTGACGCGTGTCACACGTTTGCTGATTCACATTGTATTCCCCCATGTTGGCATCCAGATCACGAGTCAAACAATCGTTTTTTCTCACACGGTCTTCGGGGTGACGCGTGTTGCCCGTGTGTTGTTTCACACTGTATGGCCGCATGTTGGTGTCCAGAATAAGAGTGAAGCATTGTTTTCCTCACACGGTTTTCGGGGTGACACGTGTCACCCGCGTGTTTCTTCACACTGTATGACCCCATGTTTGCGCCCAGAATACGAATGAAACAGATGTTTTCTCACACGGGTTTCGGATGACATGTGTCACCCGCGTGTTGTTTCACACTGTCCAGCCCCATGTTGGCGTCCAGAATACGAGTGGAACAATTTTTTTCACACGGTTTTCGAAGTGACACATGCCACCCGTGTGTTGTTCTACGCTGTATGGCCCCATGTTGGTGCCCAGAATACGAGTGGAACAATTGGTTTTCTCACGGTTTTCTCGATGACACATGTCACCCGCGTGTTGTTTCACATTGTAAGGCCCCATGTTGGCGTCAAGAATACGGGTGGAACAATTGTTTGTTCTCACACGGTCTTCGGGGTGACACGTGTCACCCGCGTGTTGTTTCACATTGTGTGGCCCCATGGTGTCGCCCAAAATACGAATGAAACAATGATTGATTCTCACGCGGTTTTCGGGGTGACATGTGTCACCCGTGTGCTGCTTCACATTGTCTGACCCCATTTTGGCGTCCAGAGTACGAGTGAAACAAATGTTTTTTCTCACACGGTGCTCCAGGTGACACGTGTCACCCGCGTGTTGTTTCGCACTGTGTGGCCCCATGTTGGCGACCAGAATGCGAGTAAAACATAGTTTTTCCTCGCACGGTCTTCGGGGTGACACGTATCACCCGCGTGTTTCTACATTGACCCCAAGCCATGGGCCAAGGGCTCCCAGCTTCTGGGCGTCCGAGGGGTCCCGCCGGCCCCTGTGGTCGCGCGCTGCATATCTTCTTCGCATTTCGGGTGTTGCTATAAGTGCCCCTGGCCCTAGATGCCCCCAGGATTTCCAAGGAGGCCCCCACGGCCTCCAGAGCACCCCCCACGAGGCCCATGAGGCCCGAAGGGCTCCAAGATGGAGCGAAAAGCTGGGGGCACCCCGGGCCAGGGGCACCTTTGACAACTCACGACCCTTCCAGCGAGGGGCGACGAGGAGCAACTTCAGACGAAGGTAGAATCGAGACAACATCGGACCGATATAACACAAGATAATATGTGAGGATCGGCGGGTTTGGAGTATGTATCGGGCGCCGCGGCCGTTCCAGAGCGTTCCGGAACGCTCTGAGAGCGTTCTGGAGCGCTCTGGAACGGATTTGTCTCGATTCTGGGCCCATCCGAAGGAAGGGAGGGAGGGAGGGAGGGAGGGCGAGGAGGAGGTGGGGTAACAGCCTCCGGGATATCGTTGGTCCCAGACATCTCCCATCTGAGGTTCTGCATCCGCGGCCCCATAGCTCCCGACCCTTCCCCAGGGACGGCTGTGCGCCCAGAGGGAGGGAGGGAGGAGGGCGAGGAGGAGGTGGGGTAGCAACCTCCTCCTCCTCCTCCTTCTCCTCCTCCTCGCCCTGCTCTCCTCGGGTCGCCTACGGCCCCGGGGGAAAGCGTCCAGGGTGAGGAGGAGCTGGGGTAACAGCCTCTGGGAGATCGTGGGCCCCAGGCATCTCCGGTCTGATGCTCTGCATCCGCGGCGCCAGAGCTCCCGGCCCCTTCCCAGGGGCAGCCCTGCGCCCCAGACCCGTTTCGGACGGCAATGGGACCCGGGCTGCGGACCCCGACGAGAAACGTCCAGATGGGAAAAACACTCGGAGATTTGCGGACGACGACGACGACGACGAGGAGGAGGAGGAGGATGATAATGCTGCTGCTGCTGCTGATGATGATGATGATGGTGGTGATGATGACGATGGTGATGATGATGGTGATGATGATGACGATGATGATGATGATGCTGATGATGATGATGATGATGATGATGATGATGATGATGATGACGATGATGATGATGATGATGATGATGATGATGATGATGATGATGATGATGCTGATGATGATGATGATGATGATGATGATGATTATTTGTTCCTCCTAATGCTAAAGTGCGAACACTTTGTGACCAAAAGGCTGGCTCGCACGGGACTCTGCTTCAGCCCGTGGGTAGCCTCGCTTGCTTAACGCTCGGAGA